ACATATACTGCCTGAACAATGGACTCTCGTTGAAATTCATATAAACTGTAGGCTTGTAATGAAGATGTGGGGGTCAATAGTGGGAAGATAAAAATTTAAGAGTCCTAAAAAGCAGGTAATCCAAACAACAAAAATGGTAATATAAATGCTTAACATGTGGCCTTAAAAAAATCATCTTAGCAGAAACACAAACCAATGAAAACCCAACCTCACTGTAAACCTTTGTTAAAATCACAACAAAACCACATCTCACACCATGCACAAAAATCAGCTCAAGACAGAACAAAGACGTAGGGGGAAAGCTCCCAAACCATTAGTATCTTAAGAGACACATAGGGATCAAACTTAGCAGCACCAGCCTATGGTATAAATAGGCCTGCAAATATAGTCAGAAATGTATAACCAGAAGAGTATAAAATCAATTAATGGGACCTTCTAATAATTGTCCCTGTGCACATGTACACATTAAAACTTTTTCCAATAGTTTGAAAAGAAAGCCTACATACAGACTGAGAAAAAGCACCTTGCAATGGTATCTCAGGCAAGGGTCTCTTAACAAACGTTTTGAGAACTCTAGAAGGCCTCCACAGGAAAAAAGACTGATAACCCAATCACAAAAGGGGCAAAAGCCATCTAAAGACTTTTCACAGAGGATGACATTTGGATGGCCCACAGACATATGAAGACATGCTCAAAAGCACCAGCAATCAGAGAGATGCAAATCAAATCCACAATGAGATACTATCTCATCCCAATAGCAGTGGTAAAGTTTAACAAGACAACAAGCAATAAATGTTGGAGATGATGTGGAAAGATAGGAACTCTCATGCACTGCTATTGGGATTTTAAAATGGTACAACCACTCTGGAAGGCAGTTTGGCATTTCCTCAAATAGCTGAACACAGAAATCCCATATGATCCAGCTATTCCACTGTAAGAATATACCCCAAGGAAAACAGAACTGAGACAGTAATGGAGATGTGTACTCCTATGTTCATAACAGTGTTATTCACAATAGGAAGGAAATGTCGACCAGCAAATGAATGAACTGAGAAATTGTAGTACATTCACACAATAGAACACTATGCATCACTAAGTAGCGATTCTGTAAAATACAGTATTAACATGGGAGAGTGCGGAGTGAACTAACCAAGTCTCGAAGTTGCTATGTGCCATTGAGTTGCCTGAGACTCACAGTGACCCTATGTACAACAGACCTAAACTCTGCACTATCCTGTACCAATCTCACTAAATCTGACACACCTACCCATATTACCTCAATCACTGAATCAATCCATCTTATCGAGGGTCTTACTCTCCTGCACTGTCCCTGTACCTTCCCAAACATGACGTCCCTCCCCAAGGACTGGTCCCTTTTTGCAACATGTCCAAAGTATGTCAGACGAAGCTTCAGAGTCCTTGCCTCCAAGGAGGGCTTAACCCTCTCCAAGATGAATCTGTTCGTTTTCTTAGCTGTCCATGGTATATTCAATACTCTTCTCCAGTCACCACAGCTCAAAGGCATCAATTCTCCTTCTATCATCCCTAGTCACTGTCCAGCTCTCTGATGCATAGCAAGTGATTGCAAAGATCATGGCATGTATCAGGTGCACCTTAGTCTCCAAACTGATACTGCTGCACTTCAGTACTTTAAAGAGGTCCCTAACCATAGACTTTCACATTTCAATATGCCTTTTAATTTCTTGGCTGCCTGGTGCCAAGTGTTGACTGTGGTGGAGTCAAGCAAACCAAAACTGTGAACAATCTCAATCTCTTCACCATCCATCATGATGCTGCCAATTGTCTCAGTGGTGAGAATCTTTGTTTTCTTGATATTGAGCCTCAGTCCATACTGAAGACTGTAGTCCCTGACATTCCACAGCAAGAGCTTCAGGTCCTCCTCAGTTTCAGCAAGCAGGGTTGTCTCATCTGCCTAACACAGATTGCTGATGAGTCTTCCTCTAATCTTGATGCCATGTTTCTCCTCATAGAGCTCAGCCTCCCAGATAACCTGTTCTGCATAAAGATTGAAAAGGTATGGAGATAGGATACATCCCTGGCGTACACCCTTCCCAATTTTGAACCATGCAGTGTTTCCTTGCTCTGTTCTGACAACTGCCTCCTGGTCCAAGTATAGGTTTTGCCTTAGCACAATCAAGTGTTCTGGGATTCCCATTCTTCTCAGTTAGTCTCATCAGGACAAATTATTTTAAAAATAGAAGGATAACTAGTTAAGATGTGTATAAATGTACAAAGGGGAAAGGAAGAATAGGGTGTAAAATGGGGAAGCGGGGAAATCACTAGGATAGTAGTTTAGTGGGCAGATGGGTGTGTGTGTGCAAGTATAAGAAAGATCCAGTGGGGACTTCAAAAGATAGGGTAATAACAGGCATAGATGAATAGCAGTTTTATAAAACAATGTATATGAAGATTATACAATTTTATTAACATGATTGAAAGATGTGTGAATACATGTGGAAGAAGCACAATTTATACAAATTCTGTAGGCAAACCAGTATTAAAAAAAAATTAGGAAAAAATAAAAAAGAAATATAAACCCAGTGCAGAAAGGCTACATGTAAAGAGAAAGCCATTCACTGCAGTGTGTTACATTGGAGTAACTCATCTTCAAAGGAAGGTCTGGTTGAGCCTAGGATCATGGAACACCTATGCTAATGTCCAGAGCTTTTCTTCATTCTCTAGGATACACAGTGTTATTGTTAGGTACTATCAAGTCAACTAATATTCTTAATGACCTTATGAACAACAAAGCTGAACCTTGTCTTTGTTACAGTCACTGTATCAATCCCTTTTGTTGAGTTCTCCCTCACTTTTGCTGATGTCTTTTTCCAAGTATTGGCTCCTCCTCATAACATTCCCAAAGAAGGTGAGACCAAGTTTTATCATTCTTGCCTCCAAGAAGCATCCTGGTTATACTTTCTTCCGGATAGATTTGTTTGTTCTTTTGGCAGTTTATGGGTTATTTAATACTCCTTAGCAGCACAAGGGTGTTGAGTCATTCTGCACAGGGTTAGGGTGCAGGAAACTGGATTTTCAGTCAAGCAGGTACACTGGCTCCCAAACTGTACTTACAGTAATTTTTCCAAAGCGTATCGAGGAAAGAACCCTGATAAGTACTGATTTTAAAAACCCTTTTGGAGAAGAATGTTCTTAAAGCTTAGGAAGTACTTCAATGCCCTTGGGAAGAAACATAATCTATACTTACCCAGTGTACAACTCAGTTCTAGCACACTATAACATTTAGATGAAATGACCTAGAACTTTGGAGAAGGCAATGGTCGTTTCTAAAATCCACGAACCCTTGAACCAGATGGCTCCCTTCTAGGACTGATTCCTCCAGAGACACATGCCACAATGTTCAAGGGTATTAAAATCCTGGGATAACAAAGTTCAGTGCAGTGATAACGACATTACCTACAGTTATGAGCTGAAAAGTGCCAATGAAAAAAGCACAAGCAGAGAAGTATGAGTCCACTTATGTCTGTGTGTAGTGTGCTATGATGAGGGAAGTCAGCAAGTTCATCAAAAACAAGCAAGGTTGGAGAACCTGTCACAACCAAGGGAAATCTCAGAAACCGTGACAAGTAGATGTAATATGATATCCTCAGTGGAATTCTGGAAGAGAAATCAGCAACTCAAGAAGTCAGAATAAAGTATGGGCTTTAATGAATAATGGTGGATCAGTATTGGCTGTTGTTGATGTGTACTGCTGAGGTGGAACCAACTCACAGCTGACCCTCCAGTGGGTTTCCCAAGGCTGTATATCCCAGAGGAGAAGACTGCTCATTTTTTCCCCCACAGAGCAGCTGGGAATACAAACCATATGCCTTAGGACTGGCAGCATTAATACCTTACCACTAGGTTACCGAAGTTTCCTATTGGTTCATTAGTTGTGGTAAATGTTCCATACCAATGTGAGATGTTAAGAGTAGAGGTAACTTGGTGTGTGGTGTACACAAAACCCCCTGTACTATATTTGCAATTTTCCTGAAAATCTAAAACAGTTTTAACTTTTTAAAATGCTTTGCTGTTGTTGTGTATCATTGCAGAATTAACTCATCCTCCAGGGGTTTTCAGAAGCAGTAAATTGCATGGGAAGAGATTGCCTGTATTTCTTCTATCAAAGTTCTGGTGGACCAGAACCATATTCCTTTGGGTTGGCACCGCAACTCCTTACCACTATACCACTAGAGCTCCCTAGCTGTAACTTTTTTAAAGATAGCTCATGTCTCTCTTTGGCTCAAAACTCTAAAATGACCCCTTACATAAAAATCACATCAATATGTCTTACACAAAATTATGAAGTTCATAGAAGAAACCTAAAAAAAAAAAACCCCACCCTTTTTTTCCTCTAGGACAAAAACCGGTAGTGGTTTCTTCTTCCCTCAGAGAACGAGCCTAAGTCCTCTGGTGGTCCACTAGGTAGGTGTCCATCTTTTCTGATTCCTTTCTACTGTCCCTTGGCAATCACTCACGTGTAACCACCCTAGGTCTCTGAACACCTCAAGTGAGCTTTTTTCTCAGGAGATCTGCATTCGTCCTTCCCTCTGTCTGCCATATTTTCCACCCAGGAATCTGCCAGCTCCCTTAGTTCCTTTGAGGCTCTGCTCACCTCCTCATCAGAGGTACATTCTTCTTGGACCTTTCCCCAGAGTACTTGTTACCAGGGGGAAGGTCACAATTTTTAGCTGATGCTTTTACTATACTTTCTCCCCAAAGTGATGAATTCTGTGTGGGCAGGGGCCTGATATGCACATCCCCTGCTGTCTCTGGCACCTGACCCAGTACTTGCACAAAGGGCACACTCAGTATACACTAGTACATGAAGTTGGGTTGGGAAACCAAAATAGTGGAGTCTTCTGTGTCTCTGGAACAAATACAGAAAAGCAGTGAAGGGAAGTGCAGGCAGTTACTGTCGTGAGAGAGGACTTCTTGCCTTCCCCAAGGTCCATAAGAAGGGAATAAAGACTATCACTAACCTTACCCACAGAGGGAAATCCAATCAGGGCTACACGGGCATCGCCTGACTTCATCACGTCAAAGCCTTCTCCTTTGGATGAGGCTGATTTGGAGGGTTCTAGGAGCTGAGCCCGATATTTGGCAAGTTTTGCTTTCAGCAGTCCCAGGTGATACTCAGTGGCTAAAAGACAAAACAATGCAGAGAAGGTAAATTCCAAGGTATCCACACCCCATGGATCAGATGAAGCCCCACATGGAAGCAGGGATTGGCTGGGAACATCAGGATCAGACAGCAATTACTTCCAAGAAGGCAATAAACTCTGCTTGAAACACGCCTACTTCTTACTTCTTTAAAATAAATCCAGATTCTTCCCTACAGCAGTGTACCCAAGTGGGGTAGCACTACTCCCAAGGCGTTCTGGAGATAAGCAGGAAATGGTTTATGTCACTTCAGCAACAAAATCTTCTGCTGGAATTCACCAGATGGAGAGTTGGGGAAGTCAGCTGCCCTGGAAGGTCTGAGTTAATCCTGACCTGATAAGAACTACTGAAAGTCCCTCATGACTCTTCACGGAAGGCTAACCAATCTCTTAGCAAGATTATGGCCTAAGAAAATAATCTTAGCAGAAATACAACCCTAGTACTGAAAGGTCCCCCAAGAATCCAACCATAACGCTCATTAGAAATGAGGATGGCAAGACTCCGGCTTGCTTATTTTGTACATAATATGTCATCAGGAAAGAAAGATCAATCCCTAGAAATGAACATCACGTTCAGTAGGTGTGAGAAAGCAAGGGAAACCCTTAATGAGATGGACTAACACAGCAGTGTGAATGCACTCATGGTTTTAAGGATGGCACAGACCTGGGGATGCTCTGTTCTGTTGTACTCAGCTAGCTCTGAGGTGGAGGGAACCTGATGGCAACCACAGAAGGTATACTTAGCTTCAGAATCCTGAAGCCTAGACTCTTGTTTTACATATACATTTTATATAAGTTTTAATATATGCTAAACCTTCCAGAACGAAGTATGTTAAGATTATGATTAGTTTGACCCACAGTTGCTAAGCATTTTGGAAAAGCACACTGCCAACAGTGATGTCTTCTATTGTGGAGGACCTTGGTTACCAACACAGGGGGACTGCATGTGGCTGCCACCTTCCAGAACTCCACCTGGAGATGCATTTGTGTCCAATTATATTGCACTTAAGTCAAATAATCAATATATAATCTTATGTAACCTTTTCAGTCTGTATGCAGAACAGATCAACCAAGACTCTGGGCTGTACGAGGAGGAATGTGGCATCAGGATTGGTAGAAGAGTCATCAACAACATACGTTATACAGATGGCACAACCCTGCTTGCTGAAACTGAGGAGGACCTGAAGCACTGCAGCCTTCAATATGGATTGAAGCGCAACATCAAGAAAACAAAGATTCTCATTATTAGGCCAATTGCCAGCATTACTACAGATGAAGAGATTGAGACTGTTAACAGTTTTAGTTTACTTGGTTCCACAGTTAACACTCTTATTAACAGCAGCCAGGAAATCAAGAGACGAACTGCACTGGCAAAGTCAATGGTGAGGGACCTTTCAGGAGTACTGAAGAACAACGATACCAGGCTGGAAACTAAGGTGCGCCTGATCCAGGCTATAGTCTTCGCAATTACGTGCTATGCATCTTAGAGTTGGACAGTGACTAGGGATGATAGAAGGAGAATTGATGTCTTTGAGGTGGTACTGGAAAAGAGTGTTGAACATACCATGGACTGTTAAGAGAACAAACAGTTTTGTCCTGGAGAGGCTGAAGCCGGGCTGCTCCTTAGAGTCAAGAATTCTAAAGCTTTGTCTGACATACTTTGGGCATGTTGCAAGGAGGGACTGATCTTTCGAGAAGGACATCATGTTGGGGAGAGTGAAGGGACAGTGCAGGAAAGGAAGACCCTCGATGAGATGGATCGATTTTGATTGGAGTGGTGGGAATGAGTGTGTTTGAGACGGCAAGGTTGGCACAGTATAGAGCGGCATTTAGGGCTCTTGTACATAGGGTCACTATGAGTGCCAAGCGACTCAATGGCACATAACAACAACAATCTTATGTAGGTGTATCAGAGACATAAGGTTGGCACAGAATAGAGCAAGGTTCAGAGCTGTTCACACTATGAGTCACAACCAACCTGATGGCACATAAAAAATAGTACAGGTATGTTTGTTTGGGAAGTTCACTTCTGTTAAAAAAAATCCCCACATCATTGTAAGTGGGTTGGAACCAACTCATAGGTGGCCCTCAGGTGGATTTTCAGGGGGCTGTAAATTGTACAAGAAAAGATTACTTATCTCTCTCCCTTGGAGCTGCTGGTGGATTCAAACCAAAGCACCACAGGTGTCACCTCTGGTTAGCAGCACAATTATCTATGAGGCATGCCACCAGAGCTTGGTAAAGGAGGTGTTACAAGAGCTTTGCTACAAATGAGGCACTGGTTTGACAAAATAAGAGACTCAAGGCATGATGTAAACAAGCCACTGGCAGCTTCACCAATCACATCAACCACTCTCCTTACAGCAACTGAAATTCTATCACAGCAGCTTTTTATTTTTCAAAACATGCTGATCTCAGTTCTGCCTTTATATTTGCTGCTTACACCATTTAAATGCTCCTTCTTATTCGAGGTTCTGGGAGAAAGTGTGTCATGCAGAGTTAAGAGCCTGTATTCTGCAAATCAGCCTGTGCATGAATCCCATCTTAATATCAATGGACATTTTGCTTTGGAAAAACAAATCTTCCTGTGTCTCAGTTTCCTAATCTATAAAACAGAAATCCTGAATGCAGCAGATAGTGTGTTGGGTTTTATTTTTTACGGATTAAGGAGAGTGTATAGCACATGGCCTAAAGAGGAATCAGAATACATTTATGGGGAAATTGTTGGAGCAGCTCATTATCAGCTCTGAAAAGTAGGGTAGGAGCTAATTGTGAAAGAGACAATCAACTACTCATATGCAAATTTAAAATGATGCTAAAGAAAATAAAATCAAATTCACAAGAACTAAAGTTTGACCTTGAGTCTTATCCCTCCTGACTTGAAAGACCATCTCAGGAACAGGTTTGAGGCCTTGAATGCTAATGAGTGAAGACCAGATGAGCTATAAGAGGGTATCAAAATTATCAACTATGAAGGATGCAAAAAGTCATTACAAAGATGAAGGAAGAAGATAAGACCAAGATGGATGTCAAAAGAGACTCTGAATATTGCACTAGAGTGCCAAGAAGCCAGAATAAAGGAAAAAAATGAAGATGTTTGTTGGGGAGTGTTGGGAAGGAGGCCCCTGGCTGGGGCAGATCACCTGGCTTCAGATAAGTGCAAGCCTATATGATCCATATAAGCCCTTAATACAGGACAGAGAAAGCTCTCCTGTGTTTGGCTGTGCTGGCTGAGAAAGCTCGCCAACCAAAAAGATGTCTGCTGCATCCGCTGGCTGGGAGTGGTCTGCACTGGGCTGAGGTTCTTCTGTCCAGTCCGTGTACTCCATATCTACAAATCCATCTCATCCTGTCTTCCTGTTTACACTCCTGTATATAAACACACTGTATCCCCCAATAAAGTTAAGTCAGCTCTCTGAAGTGCTCCCAGAGTAGTGTGTCTCTGTTGTGCTCACCCCCATCAAGGTGTCGCTACTCCCCACCAGCAAAAAAAAAGCAACAGGCGTTAAGGAGCTGAACAGAAGATTACAAAGGGCAGCACGGGAAGACAAAGCAAAGTATTATAAGGAAATGTGCAAAGAGTTGGAGTTCCAAAGTAAGAAGGGATGAACTTGCTTGGTATTTCTTCAGCTGAAGGAACCGAAGAACAAATTCAAGTCTCAAACTGCAATGCTTACTTTATGGATGTTGTGGGCAGAATGTTCACTGACTCAAGAAGCATCAAAAGAAGATGGAAGGAGTATACAGAGTCACTATACCAAAAAGAATTGGCTGACATAGAATAACTTCATGAAACAACATATGATCAAGAGAAAACAGCAATGAAGGATCAAGTTCAAGCTCCTTTGAAGGAACTGGCAAAAAAACAAAACCCTAGGAACTGACAGCATATCAGCTGAAACTGATGCTACCCTAGATGTGCTCACCAGGTTGTGCCAAGAAATGTAGGAGACAATTTCTTGGCCAACTAACTGACTGGAAGAGATCCATATTTATTCCCATTACAAAAAAAAAAGGTGATCCAATAGAGTGTGGAAATCATCAAACAATATCATTAATATCACATGCCAGCAAGATCCTCTGAAAATTGTCCAAAAAAAGACTGAACAGCACACCAACAGAGAACTGCCAGATGTGCACAAATGGGTTTAAAAGAGACTATGGCACTGGTGACATTATAGTCAATGTTAGTTGGATCTTAGCTGAAAAGCAGAAGTACCAGAGGAATGTCTGTGTTACATTGACTATGCAAAGGCATTTGATTGCATGGATCACAACAAATTGTGGTTATCCTTGAGAATAATGAGAATCCCTGAAGACTTGATTGTGCTCATCCAAAACCTATACTTGAACCAGAAGGCAGTCATCAGAACAATGAAACACTGCATGGTTCAAGATCAGGAAAGGAGTATGCCAGAGATGTATCCTGTAGGAAAGGAGTATGCCAGAGATGTATCCTATCTCCAGACCCTTTCAATCTATATGTGGAACAGATCATTCAAGAGGCTAGAATTTATAAGGAGGAATGTGGTATCAGGATTGGAGGAAGACTCAACATACTTTGGGCACATGGCCAGGAGGAACCAGTCCTTGGAGTAGAACATCATGGATGGAGGGATAGTGCAAGAGAGGAACACTCAGGATGGACTGACTCAGTTACTGGGGTAGTGGGGGTATGTGTGTCAGAGACAATGAAACTGGCTCAAAATACAGTAGAGTTAGAGCTGTTATACATAGGGTCGCTATGAGTTGCAAGCAACTCAACAGCACATAACACCACCACAGCACATGGTATGAATGCAATAAAGGCTTTTATTACCATAAGGAGTGCTACTGGTGCAACAAATAAGCACGTGACTGCTAACTGAAAAGTTGGTGGTCTGTACTCATCTAGTGGTTCTGGGAGCTTTGGGGGTTTTAGTGGTAAGTTGTGCTGCCAACATAAAGGCATGTGATTCAAATTCACCAGCTGCTCCATGGG